ATTAAATTTTGGACGCTTTATTGAATACTTCCTATCTTTAGAAATTGCTATAAAATATAATTAGAGCTTGGCATTGTACCTTAAGTAAGGAAAATTGCAGGAAATTAAAATTTATAATCGTTTATAAAAGTTTATCATTACTATAATATATACTTGAGACCGTATTGGATATATTTTTATGAGCTACTGGTTAGAAATAGTTTCTCTACAAAATATTTAGATATTCTATTCTTTTTGGAAATATTACTGAAATGAGAATTGATGTTGGTCTTGATAAAAATCACACAACGTTGAAATTACAATTTTTGATTAAATATGTCTATTTAATCGCTTAAACCTAACTTCATGTATGTGTTATCAAAGAGGCTTCAGAAGGTTGCGCTTATACTAAAATTTACGTTATTTGACGTTTTTGCATTTTGTAGGTTAGATTTTATGTGAAAAGCTCCTGATTGAACAGCAAATATAATAATAGACAGTTTGTGACTATCAACTCATACGAAGATAACCCTTAACATAGCATTATCTTGACATTTCTATTTATTCGAGAATTGGCCCCTAAATTTCAATTTGAATTTAATATTTGAATACTAATATTGTGCTTTTGTACTTTTAATTTTTTTCTTATAATACAATTTTTTAGCAATTATTAACTTGTATAAAAAAATTGTACCAATATGAATACTTTAATTATGCATTGATTGGTGATGAACGTTCAACAAATTTTAATTATTGTAAAAATTATCACTTAAAAAATATTACTATAATATTAATAAAATTCTCGCAAAATTTTTGCATTCCTACATCATTCATTCCTATCATTTATTGAATATTCATAACACAATTATATTTTTATTATTTCATTGCTAATTGTAACAATTTTGTTACTAGTCGGCAACCGTTGCTTTAATAATAAATTAACATTTAAATTTTTGTAAAATGTACAAAATTACATCCAACTATTTCCGATGTGCATTTTGTAGTTTGCAGATTATTGCTGTAAATTAAAATATTTAGCAATTATTACCTAGTGTAAAATTTTTTGTATGAATATAAATACTTTGATTAGTGATGAAAAATTAACAAAATATCATTTATGGTAAAAATTATCACTAAAAAAGCATTACTATAATATTGAAAAAATTCTTACCAATTTTTGGAAAAATTTAGCATTTCTACATAATTATATGATTATTTAAATATTCATAACTCTATTAACTATTCTATTATCTTATTGCTAATTGTAACAATTTTGTTACCATCGGCCCAGTTGCTTTAATAATAAATTACCATTTAAATTTTTCCTAAATATACAAAATTACATCCAACTATTTCCCAAGCCCTGATAACTATTTCCAGCGGTGGGAGTCGATTATTCCGATATTTGGTAAAAAAATCAGCATATTATAGCATAGAAAATCAGTTTAGTTGGATTTTCTAATGTGTTATGATGTAAAAATATTTAATTATTATGCTCCATCGATTCGTATTCGAAAAAAGGAACCCATTGGGAAATCGATAGTATAGAAGTGATTACTAAATATGTTACAATAGAATACGTGGCGATTAGTGGTTTATAAATGTAGAGTTAAAAATTGGTGAAAATGTTGTGAAATTTATAGTATATTTAAATTTGTACAAAATTTAGGTTTAATTAGAAAAATAAGTGATTTTGTGAGATTGTAGATGGACAATTTCATATGCCATTTTTATTCTACATTTTGTTTCGGTAAGTCGTTTTTCTTCATCAGAGAAGAATTTCATAGAATTTTATGGAATTTACGATGTATATTTGAAAAATATAAATAATAGTGACATCTTTAAATTCACAAGACCTCGTGAACCAATGGCAATTTTTTTTCTACAGAATCTACTTTCTCATTTTTCTTCATCAGAGAAGAGTTTAATTGAATTTTATGGAATTTACGATGTGTTTTTGATAAATATAAATGATAATGATGAAAAAATCCTTAAATTTACAAGACCTGATAATCTAATGGCAACTTTTTTTTACAAAAGCTACTTTAGTGCTAAAATAGTTAATTAGAAATCTAGGCTATAAAATATCTAAGCTATTAAATTGCCAGGTTTCTAATTTTTTTTCCAAAATATCAGTTTAAAAGATTTACTTTGAAGATTCGTAAGGTTTTCTGGAAACGAACATTAAAATATAAATTGTAATATATGCACATTTTTATATAAATTTGTATAAAATTTAGGTTTAATTGAAAAATGTGATATAGAGGCTCTCATATTTTTTTTTATTTCTTAAAGTAAATCGTCTAATTTTAATTTCAACAAACGCCAAAAAAACTACTCATTTTACCAAGCCTTGATGAATTTTTAAAATTAAACTTCTTGACTTAAGGCCGTTATATTTCAGTAAGTTCTATAAGACCATAAAAATCTTTTTTCAACAGTTAATTACAAGAAAACAGCTCGGTAGGTTTTCACCTAAAACTAAATTTTTGCAAACTTTGAAGAATTTGTACGACTTGTCGTAGGACCGTAATATTTTAGTATGATCTATAAGACGATGGTACATACCGTCAAAAAAATTTGTAAAAATGTGTTCACACACACACACACATACTTTTTCCAAATTTGGTCTCATTCGATTCAGAATGGCTTGAAACGTCGATAAAACTTAAAATAGTGAATTGGATTTTTTATGAAAGCATAAACTTCTTCGGGAGGTTGATACTTACCCTTGTTCCAAGAAGCCTCTAGCTGCCCTATATATATTAAGTTATTTAAACTTTATGTATTATCAATATTTTATTTAAAAACTGGAACATGTTTTATGTTCCTACATTGGCCTTATTCAAGTACATGCTAATATTACTTTTACTCATATGTGGACCTTGAGGTATTATCGAGGTCTATTATAATTTAAATAATCCCCAATTAAATCTAATCTCAAAACTAACAATTAACTTCATCGTCTTGTTGCAACAAAAGCCATAAAATCGTAAATCCGTTACAATAATGTATGTTTTCAACTTTTACGATGGATAAAAGTCCGATAAGAAAATCCACATGGTTTGCACCATGAAGTGTTAACTTTATAATGAGATATAAATTACTTCCTTATTGCTGATTCATTATGAAGAACTACTTGACAATAGATTTTTCAAATTTTATACGGTACTCTCTTGTTGGCATACTTATTCCAGACTTTTTTTTGCTAGTCAATTAATTGGATGAACGGTCATGTAATCGAAAATTCATAGAATATATAATACATCATAGTACATCTCATTAATGATAAATCTTATCGTTTTAATACATCAAGACATCATTCCCCGATAAAACTAGTGATGTATGGCATCATACCTTAAGGCAATTTGCTGAACTTTCCCGTACCTTAAAAAATTTTTCGATGAGTATTAAATGTTTTCAAATAGATTATTATAAATACTATAACATTGTCTAATATTTATAAGAATTTATAAACTGAATTACAAAGTTAAATTATTTGTTTAAACTATATTAGAACTTTAGTCATAATTAAAATCTGAATTATTTTCGATATACAAAAAAAAATTAAAACAAAATTGAAACATAAAATTTCTTTTACAAAAGCATTTATTTTGTTAAAACAAGCTGAAAGTTCTTTGAATCATTCAAATTCGACGTTAGTTTACTCAAAACTGTCATTTTTTGCATATTTAGCTCTGCATATCCGGAACCGCTGGACCTGCCTTGCCAAAAACTAATCACCACTTCTCCCAATCATTACAAATTGAATGTTTTTTGAATCATTTAAATCCGATACTGCGTGCTCTCTATTTTTCTGAACTCTTTGCTCTATATCTCCATAACGGCTGGGCATGCCTTCGCCAAATCTAATCAGCACATCTCTCTATCAATAGACTCTAATGTTTTTAACCATTCAAATCGGTTGATCCGTGCGCCCGAAAACGTAGACGAAAAATTGCGGACACACAAAAACACACAACACACACGCACACACGCACACACATCAATTTTTTCTGAGGTATGCCAAATGTTCAGAAACCTCTGAAACATGAAATATGCAAAAATTTTCATTTCGATTACTATATTTACCTTACGGAAAGTTAATAAAAAAGTTGTGGGTCTATCTTCGTATAATTGGTAGTAACAAACTGTCAAAAAGCTATATATTGCGGTGCAATCAAGAGCTTTTACACATATAACCTAACCTACAAAACGCACAAAGTTCAAGTAAGAATTTTGTCATAATGCAACTTTCTGGTGTCTCTTTGATAACACATAAGTGAAGGTTTTATATTGTAAAACACCTGATTGCATAGCAAATACATGGCTTTTTTACAATTTGTTTCCTCTTATTTATGCAAAAATACAAGAATGAAAAAAAAACTTACATAAAAATGAACATTCTGCAAGCTCTCTTATTACTGCCAAGATATTTGAATACTTGTCGATTTTTTACCTTTTAGATTTTTCGGTATAAGTAAATATTTTGCAATTCTGTAAACTTTTATTAATGACGAAATCACACATTGTTTTTATAACATTACGTAAATGTTATTTAAATAATCATTATTGTTGATGTACGTTCGTTGCAAAATTTTAACATTAATTATAATTACTATTTTAGCAATATATATAAATACGAATTTATTAGATCACGTAATAATGGTTTTGAATTTGAATGAATATTTATAGATATTTCGACAGATCTGATAGTTTTTGAGAGAAAAAATGTTGTAATGTGATTTAATGGTGATAGGTTTAATTAATTTCATACATTCGATACGAGATTTAGATTGATACTCTTCTAATATTGATGGATGGATCACAATTAGGCAATAAATTTATCCTATGAATATTGCATCGGTGTTTCCAGGCACTTGTCTTGGATAGTCTGTTGTCAGGCAGCAATGACATCAGTTTCCACTTCACCAATATGTTTCCACGTGAAAATAGTTCTTATCCAGCGTTACTACATCAATGAAAAAAGCTTCAGTGTTACAGAAATTTTAATAATATTTTTAGCGCATACAGATAGGACCACCATTTGGGTTGCCATCTATAAAGCACATTAGTTCTAATTGCTGAAAATTTAAACAAATCAAGTAAAATGTCGATGGATATATTTCAATTAATTATTTCAATCAATTACAAGGTTGTCTGTTTTTCAATCCTTGAACTTTACATCTACACTTCCCACAAATCGTCTTTAAATTGTAAAAAGTTGAATACCCTCATTTTATCGTTTTTGAATAAATTTCCTAGTTTTGACCATGAATAAAGTTTTAATAAAGGTCGTTTCACATATGCAAATGTGAGGTCGAAATTCTAAATAAGTTTTACTGCAGTTTTACATTTGCATGTAAACTGCTCATAGTTTTCGGATAATTTTATGGAAACATTTTAATTTTTTTTTTCAATACTTCGTCTGCATATGTAAAAATCTGCATATGCTAATTTCAATAAGTCTTTATGCCGAGAATATTTTTGCAATACTACGCATTTCTGTTAATTTTGTTAAAGATGAGAGGTATTGTTTAAGAATTGACAAATCTTTTTAAACGCAAATATTTAATTTGCAATACAGATCGTTGTGAATGGGTAATTGTTTTTATACTTTGGCTAAATTAGATATTCTATGAAAATACCACAAACTTTGAAATGTCAAAGTTATATAATTAAGATAATCTAAACTAATAGTTAACAAATGTTGTAATATAAATGAATTGGAATTGAATTATAAAACAATTTTCATTACAACGAATATGATATTTTATTGCCACGTTATATTTTAAATAAATTACTATTTTTTGTTTTTATTACACGAGCTGTGATTGCTTTCATACATCTTCAATTCACTGTAGTTTTCGAGAAGGCAACCCAGCGGTCAACCAATTTTTTTTTGATCATGATATTAGTGGCAATACTATCAATGTACATCTATATCATGGTATCTTAATGAGGACTATCGTTTGTCGGGTTTGTGCAACGATCTGCCGAGCTGTTTCTTTGTAATTTGAAAAATGTGTTGAACCTTT